TAGACATAAATTAATTCATAACAACAAAAAAAGTTTGTAATTATATGTAATGTTTTGTACACTATATATTGCTGCCTGATCTAAAAGTATTCCAAGTATTCAGAATACAGTACTCTTATTGGCACATGTGTCAGAATACATTACAAAATACATTTTAATTCAGGTATTCAGTATTGTGTTCAGTAACTAAATACATTTTTAAAGTATTCTTCCCATCACTGATTATATAGGATCAGGATGTAGCACACAATGGGGCTAAAGAGCGAGGAGAGACAGTCAGTAAACATCAGAATTGAGATTTGAGACACTGAAGCCACTTTAAAACCTTGCAAGTGTTTTGAGACCAGACGTGTTCAATACAATGACGCCTGGATGCTACATTACAGGTAAAATATTAGTCATTACGAGGTCCTTTTAAGCTACAAAAACAAACCAGAACCCTGATTTGCTGCGTCCTATCAGCTGCTTAACGTGGAGAGTAAATCGTTGTGTGTGGTACTCCTGTGCAGAAACACACCTTTAATCTATAACCAATAAAGTGCTCTTATAAACATTTGCGGAAGGAACTCCAGAGCATTGGCTTCAGCAAACACTTTTAACCTCATATCAGGCCATCCGCTCCTGGGCTCTTTTAAAAGGCTAATTTAGGACATGTTTGAACAGACTGGTATTGATATCGACTTGTGTAGTACTTTCTACATCAGTAAATCAAGAGGTCCATTCTGTGCCAGATTATTTATTTCACTAACACCCAGATAAGATCATTATATTTAAGATTTCTGCAAAAAAAAAAAAAAAAAAAAAAAAAATTACACCTGTTTTCTCAATTTGTCAATTCTTTAGGTTTAAAATTTTACTTTGTGGTTGGAAATCTTGATCAAACTCCCAAACATGCACAAAAATGATTATCTGACACTTGTAAATATAAGAAAACACCTTTATTTAGTTGAAATCCTGTTTAAAGTGTCAGAAAAAATGTGTTTCTTGCGTGTAAACTGTGCCAAACTTTTTGATAGAATTGTCCTTATAGCTTGAGGTTATCGTGTTTGAACTCGACTTCCTGTAATTTTCAACATATTTTCCCACTTTTCTTTGCAAATTGCTTCATGACTGATGTAAAACTATCATGTATGTTTACAAGCGTTATAATCCCAAATAAAAAGAGAATTAGAAGATCATAAAAATGTGTCATACGCACTTTAAATGCATTCAAATTCACCATGGAATCACATCTTACAGTAATTATGCTTATTTGATTACCATATGAAAAATGATATGAGTTTTAATATTGGATGGCTTTAGATTACACAGAATAATTGGAGCTAAAGTATAAGGACTTGTTTCAGTTGTTATTAATATCTTTAAACTGCCAAACTGGTGTGGATTTCACAGCTCAAATGATTCGCGGTGAACTCCGATCTGTCTGGTAAACATAACAAATTGAGATCGTATTCATTTACACTGTTTGCAACTCAACACCTCAAGAAGAGCCAGTGTACGCTTTTAGGACAGCTAATCATAAATAATCATCTTTATATTTTTGTGTTGAGTTATTGACCCCTGGAGCTCAGAAAATAGCTTCAAGAAACAACTAGAAAGATTTTTTTAGATGTGTTTTTTGAGAAATAAGAATAATCATTCGAATAGAGAAGAAAAAGACATCCAAGTCTTTTGAATTATCCTAAATCTTGGAATACTGGTTTTAGCCGCAATGTAAATAATGCATTAATTATCAGCAGAGGTGGGACCAAGTCTTTGTTTTGCAAGTCTTAAGTAAGTCTCAAATCTTTGACCTCAAGCCTGAGTCAAGTCCCAAGTCAAATACAGGCAGGTCCAATTCAAGTCTCGAGTCACTGGCCCATAAATCCAAGTCCAGTCCAAGTCGTCTGCTTTGAGCGTCAAGTCATTTCAAGTCTTTAAAACAAAATACCAAATATAACTTTTAAGATAAATTGTACTTTTAAAAATCATAGTATATTTCTAGAGTATATAAGAGTTGTAGAAATGAATTTTGTAATTTTTTTCCTTTGACATGAAATCGACATGACTTTGACAAGATCTTAGTGTGAATCATCAATTAAGTCTTCTCAAGTCACAGACCCCAAGTCCCAGTCAAGTCCCAAGTCACTGACCTTCAAGTACGAGTCAATTCCCAAGTCACTGACCTTCAAGTCCAAGTCAAGTCCCAAGTCTTAGTCCATTTTATCAAGTGAAGTCTCAAGTCCTAAAAATAGTAACTCGAGTCCAAGTCACGACTTGCAAGTCCCACCACTGATCATCAGTATTATATCAATTAATTAACTGTTTATATGACTCGGGACTTTCACTTCAGATCAATAACCACATCTGAAAAAGCCACGAAAAGCCACTGAATAGATCCAATATGGTGCTGACTGCCTCCTAGAAAAACTATTTATAGTTTTAAAAGTTTTATTGTTACCTAGGTCAATGGTTCTCTACCTTTTTTTTCCCTCAAAGCCCACACTGCATGAACCAGAGACTCAAAATGTCATCCATGTTATTTTATAATTATGTTTTTTCCATTGTTTTTGTCATAGTATGCCCAGATAGTGAAGTGCTCCCCAGTCACAGATGTGGCCTAGAGCAGGGCACAGACGACTGGCCCGCTGTGGCTTCAGACGCTCACAGCTCTGATGTCATTAAAGCCAATGGAGAAAGAGTAGACAGCAGCGGACGCGTCGTCATGGGAGACTGCAGGAAATCAAGAAATATGTTACACACATACGTCAAAGAAAGCTGTGGAGAAATGGCGTCACTACACACGTAGCCTGCCAGAGCGAAGTGAGAGTTTGAGTGGTGACAAATTCATTCCAAAAACCTAAATTTGTTTAAACGTTTCACTACGTACACATTTGATTTATGTATTTATTTTGGGCAAATAAGAAATTTACATTCTTTTACAATAAAACATATAACATTCATGAAATCATAGCAGAAATAACAACAACAAAAAATAAAAAATTGGCCCAAAAAGGAGTGGGAAGATGAAAATGTATTTAATTTAATCCCACCGGACTCTTCTAATCTAACACAAATCTAACTTTCTTTCAAATTTTTCAGACATTTTACATTAAACTATATGAACTATTTACAAGTGCAGACAATAATACATGAGGATTCCAACAATGGTAAGGAAAATTAAAGATACCAACAATGGTAACAGACAGCACATACCAGCAATGGAGCAGAAACAACAAGCATAAAGCAGCACTACAGAAGGCAGTATTGTTCTTATATTAAGACCCACTCTTTTTATACTGTGACCAGACCATATGTTTATATAACAACTTGAATTTATGGATATTTTGGCATTGCTTGAGATGTGCATCCACACTGTTCCAGAGTTTTACACCACATATAAACACACAGAAACTTTTACGAGTAGAACATTGGGCAAGTTTAAATTTCCATACCCTCTAAAATTATGCATCTCTCTCTCATTTTGAACAAGCTTTGAAGATTACCTGGTAGTAAATTGTTGAATACTCTAAGTAAAATGACCAGTGTATAATATTTTACAAGGTCAGGAATCTTTAGGAGCTTGGATTCAATAAAAATATTATGGGCGTGTTCTAAAAATCCAACTTTATGGATAATTTGCAAAGCTCGTTTCTGTAATATAATCAATGGTAAATCAGTAAATATAAAATGTATACAATGAAGTTCAAAACTTATAGTAAATTAAAAACATAGCGATTAAAAAGTAGATCCCATATTTAAAAATGATAAAGAAATGTTATTGTCATATATATGTTCATGTATATGTACCTGTGTTAGGAGCGTTAAAAAGGAATCAGAACCTTTCACACACTTCTTTCAAGTGGCCCTAAAAAAACTGAACTGTGACCTGCCTGTCCTCGAGGCTCTTAACAGATGTAGACCTTTAAACCGAGCTCTTCATTCATGCCTGACCCCTCTGACCTCGTGCAGAGACATGTTCAGGCATGTTCTCTCTGGTATCTGGACGATTTTGCTCCCATATATTTAATGCAGTGATGCTAACAGCCTGAACAATGCTTTGATGTAGCACCTTCATATTTTAGTTACTTTTAATCTTTACATTTTGTTTATTTTACAGTGTTAATATATTGTGCAGCTATTTGCATGTTTTTCCAATCTGATTTTTAACTACAAATGGCAAATAACCTAACATAACCTGTGGTATTTAAATCAGATAATGTTTCTTATTTTTTGTGTTTATTCTACTCTTTAGTATTTGTTTTTATACCACATGGCCTACCCATCTTTTACCCTCTTGAACCAGCAGCATTTTTTTTGAATGGGCTGATCAAGTAACAAAGTGTTGTTGGTGCTGTTCCTCAATAGCAAATATAATTTATTATATCAACTTATTTTATTTATTTTTGTGTGGAGATATGCCCAGACGTAAATACAAAAATAGTAATTTCCAAATTTTATAGTGTTTCAGGTTGTTTTATTAATTAATGCTTAAAGTTCAATACAAAGAGTTTAACTTCTGTCACTCACACAGTTTTCACTGTTTACTAATTGATTTATGTAGAAGTGCTTTCTTTCATCTCATATTGGACCAGATTCTTTGGGGGATCATTGTGGAATTGTGTTTTTTTAATTTCTGGTTTGGGAACAGAGGTTATCTTAAAAGGATTTGAATTATCACTTATTATTATTGCTTTTTTTCCTGTGAATTGTTTGATTGCGATTAGTGCAGGAGCCAGCGTGAGTGGGGCTGCAGACGGGATGGTGTGACAGCCCAAAATGTCATCTGTTCACTCCATCGCACAAACACACAAACACACAAACACACACACACATGTGTACACACACACACATGCATCTATGTGTGTGGCGCCTTAGTAATGTCTCCATCATCAGAATCTGACGCACTGAACCTCCTACCTGCCCCCCACCCTCGGCACCACTCGCCCCTCCCACCTCCACCGTGGCTAAAGTATAAGAGGAGATGCACCACAGTTTGGAAACAATGTGGACGAGAAACACTGACTGAAACCAAAACATCTGCAGATCTGACCCACTCCTGCAACAGCACTCAAGTAAGTCCAGCATTTTTATCTTATTTTGTACATATAGATTTTTATAAAATACTATTTAAGTAGCTGATTTGTAATCTTCATTAAATTTGTTATTACAAAAAAAGTTTTTTTTTTCTTTTTTTAATATATATGATTTATATTCTATTTTCATATCATAAATGATAAATAAGTGACCAAATTAAATATTAATTGGTTTAGCTTTAAGAAAGTGCAGAAGAATGCCAAGAAAACCAAACAAACAAAAAACAGCAAGGGAGATCTCAAATGTCAGCACCATGGACAGCACCATGTACTTTTTTTCTGTTTTTGTAACTCTCCTAGACTTTTTCAAATGATATATATATATATATATATATATATATATATATATATATATATATATATATATATATATATATATATATATATATATATATATATATATATATATATATATATATATATCCTTATCTTTCTTCTCTAAAGGCTTTATGCTAAATCAGAAAATTGTAACCAAGTCATGTTTTTTTTTTTTTTCTGGAGATGTGACAACAGATTATAACTCAGACTGCGCTCATTCGGTCACTTCTCACCTGCAGGGGATGTGCTGCTTTCAGCTTTATAGATATTGATTTTATTATATTTCTTTTCCCACTTCATTTTTCCATGTTGATTGGATGCCTCTTGTGACAACTTAGAACAGTTTCATAAATGCATTTATATCTCAAAGTTAATACTTCCATGTTTAGGGAATACCTGTCACCCCAATCTCCATGTTGAGATACTGTATGGTCATGAATTAAGAAATGGTTAAGAAAAAAAAAATTTTATCATCTAACAAAAAATAGTTCATTACAATGTTTTGGCTTATGTGATTTTTATTTTTTTTTTAAATGTCAGATGCCTTTCCTGTCAAAGCCTCATGTAATGTGCTCTGGGGAGAACATTAAACCCACTATTTCCTCACTAATCAATAAAAATATGTTGGTATGTTAAATGTAAAAAAAAAAAAAACATGCACATTTTTCTTCATCGTTGTTCTTCAGATGGCCATGATTTTGAAGCCCTGGACAGTCCTGGTGGCTGTAGCTCTGTGTGTACTCATGTGTCTGAGTACTCTGTCTGACGCCTACCCCCCCAAACCAGAGAACCCCGGAGAGGACGCCCCCCCAGAGGAGCTGGCCAAGTATTACACCGCTCTGAGACACTACATCAACCTCATCACCCGGCAGAGGTACTGTTCTCACGGTGCACTTATGGTCATATGCTCACGTTAGTGTGACATTCATAGTGTGGTTAAAATGAGAGTGGACAGTGATATTTATATTTTTTCATCATCTGAAAACAATCAAAATAACTTTTACTTTATCTGAAGCGACAGAAAAGAATCGGGATGCAACAGGTCCATGCATGAAATAAACATATTCATCATAGCATCATAATAAATAAAACAAAAACAAAAAAATCCACAAATCAAGCTCTGCCTCAGTGCAAAGTTGACTGCGGTGTGGTATATTAGCTGTATAGCAGTTCTCACTATATTGGCTGTTGGTGGTGGTGTAGATTTGTCAATCATTCAGTTGTTTCAAATAGGCAAAAAAAAAAAAAAAAAGTCTAATTTAGTCAAATTCATCAACACATCAGTGCTCACAGGACATGAAGTTCACAATGGCTGTTTTTCTCTAAAACACAAAATATGATAATTAGCCTGTGGTGAAATCTTCTCTCTGGACATTTAAAGGAGTCCAACAGACAGGGGTCAGTCTGGTTAATGAGAATAATCCAATGGAGATCTGTAAATGGCTGCTTGATGCAATGGACCAATACAAAAAAAAAAATCATTTGCATTCACTTTTTCCTCTCATGAGAAAATGTATTTATGTTTGGAAAGCAATCTAAGAAGCCTACTTCATGCCCACAGAGAATACTCTTAACACAGACACTGAAACGGATCAGCTCCATTTATTGCATTTCTGGAGATGTTCACCTTTGTTAGTTTGCAGCCTTATTGAACATAAGATCCAAGATGGAGGAGGTGACTTAAATTCTGCGCTCATATTTTACCAGGGGCAGTCTCTAGGTCTCACATGATGACAAATGTAGATTGGATTATGTACTCTCTCCCAAAGCTCCAGGTCTCCACATCAACAGGTCCAGAGCAATAAGAGAGGCCAAAACAGTCCCAAATATAGTTAGCGTGGCCTGCCGCTCACACCTCCAGACAGCATGTGATCTGTTCTTATTCATGAAAGTCAAATGCGCCATTGATATTTCAAAGAGGAGCTGCTGCAGTCTGCTTCATTTTTATATAGACTACATTTAACAGAGGTTTGAGGAAGATTGACTGCTCTTATGGTGAGGCACATATCCATAAAGGAAAGAAATGTCTATTGAATTGCATTCATACAGTGTGGAAAAATGTGATGTCCAAAGATAATAACAAATACAAAACAAATAGTAACTTTGACAAAAATCTTTGAAAATGTACTGTAATTGTGTAGATTTATATTTCTAATATTACATCGATCCAGTGTGTTTTCATTTCTACATTTGATGGCTACATTTTAGGGACCTTCAGTTTAAAAAATAGGAAAAAAAATAAATAAAGAGTGGATTAAGGGAAAGACTGGAATAGCACCATAGATAAGGAGATGTTTAAGATGAGGGCCGTCATACAGAGCAAAAGTGCAGACAGTGGTTTGGTGTGACTCTTGGAGACTGGTGAGCCTGTCATAATGAGTAAAAACATTTTCTTTGGAAATGTGCTCATCTGACAGCTGGGACCAGACGCCTGCGATCGCCCTCCCACAGGCACGAGTAACCGACCATAATATTGGATGAGGGTGTTACCGGGCTGCTGGAACAGGTGGTTGATGGGAAATAAAGGGAGGCACAGGTTCCACAGTCAGTTTGGCTCTCCACATACACACAAATACAAGCCGCTTCTATGGTTGTGTGGCTTTGCATTTGCAGCTCTCATGGACACGGATCTCTATATTATGGGACAATAACATTGTCAGTGACACAGAATATAACCTGAGTAAAATACAATGTGTGCCACTCATCGTGGATGATAAGATGAGAATCTGCCAATTTTGTTATTGCCACTTTTTTGACGTCATAGGTTGTAAAATTTCTTCAATTGTGCACTATACAAAATAAACCACTTAGATTATCTTGATAATAATAACAATAATGTTGAGAGCTATATTGTGTAGTAAACCAGTTGATTGGTGTTTGATGGTTATTTGTATGTGGCCTGAGATTAGCTGGCTATCAGAGGTATCCCTATGTTCTAGATACAAGTGCAGACAGGGCAGCCGAAGCACAAGGAGCTCAATGAAAACATTGTACTAATCTTTTGACATGTTTTTCTCATTGAAGTGTGGCCTTAAGATAAAATACTGAACATTTTTCATTGTCCATTCCAGGTACGGAAAACGTTCCGCTCAGGAAGACGTGGTGGCTGAGCTGCTGTTTGGGAGTGACAGCAGAGATCAAAGGTCACGGTGAGTTATCAGAATAAGTCATGTGACCTGCTTTACAGTTTAACCCTAACGTGTTTGTGTCTTTGTCCTTAGATATGATGACTCCTTCATGTGGTGACTTCATTGTGCTCTTCCTCTGGGCGTTCCCACTATGCACCTGGAGGGGGCGTCGTTGACTGTCAAAGATCACCCGATCATTCGCCATCACTAACCGCAATGCACCTGTCTCACTTCATTGAAGTACAGTGTACATAATTTGTTATTAATAAAGGACATGTGATACCAGAGCTAACCAGTAGGTGGAGCGGTCTGTCTGCGTATGTGTGAGCTGTAAAACATCATTGGTCGTCTCACTCTCGCTGCTGTAAAGATCTACATCTGAATAAATTTATTTAAATGTTTCTCTGTGTCTGTCTGTCACATTTTACTACATTTTTAAGTATGCTTTAGTAGCCTAAGGATTCAAACTCCGGACTATGACAGACAACAAGGAGCCAGTGGGACTTACAAAGCTATACTTTGCCAAACGGGTCCACTATGACTGTGCGGGTCCCATAACTTATCGTGTATACTAACATTTTCAAATATAGTAGTAGTATTTGTAGATGGCTGGTAATACCAGCTGCCCAGGTGGTGCAGCAGTAACTAAAGTGCAACCTGTCGTTGTGCCCTTAAGCAAGACCCTTCACCCACATTACCGGTCGGAGGGGCAGGGCCGATGGCGCAGACTGACAGTGCAGCTGTGGCTACAATAACAATTTACCAGCCCCGAGTTTGGGGCAAAGTAAAGGGATTTGGGTGTCCTAAAGACCCATTAAATTATAATTATTACTTTTATTATTATTAGTATTATTATTATTAGTAGTAGTAGTAGTAGTAGTAGTAATATTGAAAATAAAATGAAATGTACAACCATCTTTTCTTGTGTCGTTCCTTGAAAAGTGCCTTTAAATAGCCGTGTGAGCTGCTCATTGACTTCCTTCAAAACATACATTTAAAGCATAGGCTGTATTATTTAAAGCCTGCACAAATATGAGGAAAAAGTGTTTTACTTTGAAATGTGGCCGGAGGTGGAACCTGTATCATTAAAATTGACGACAGGAGAACGCAGACGACAACAAGGAGCGCACGAGACATCACTCACAGCTTTTTGTAGCAAAGGTAGGGAATGTGATTTTAACATGTGACAGGAACAAACCATTTAACTGCAAGCGAGATTCATCCGGATTTCTTTCGGACCTAAATGGAGGTTTGAGTGGAATCGTTTCCCTTGACTGATGCGCGCGTATTGGAAGAAAGCGGCTACATCGGACAGGGCTGACAAAGGTGCGTCGGTGAACGTGTGCGTTTCAACTCCTCTTAAAATAGCGCGCAATCCAAAATACATTATTGCTAGTCCATTCCATATCATTCCCATTGAAAGATGTTAATTTCTCCCCCCTTTGCCATATATACATGTTCTCATGCTTTGTTTTTTCAGACAACCATATCAGGAGACCAATCAAAATAGCATATTCCCCTCGGGTCTCTGCGTGGGGTAGCAGCTCCAGCTAAACCCATGACCATGTTAACATTTGAAGCTGCCATAAGAAACCTGGCTTGTACGTAACGTAAAATAAATAAGAAACGTGACTACGCATGGGACACCACCCCTTGGCTTTCTCTGTCATCTCCAGTATATCTATGCGTAATATGTGGCCCGAATAAACTATGAGACAGCGAAAGACCTATTGTAGTTTCTCTTCTGTTGATACTGAAATACTCTGTGCATTTGTGTCAGAGAGACTTTAAACTGTAGGAACAATTTTAGGTCAGACTGCCTATGTAATGAAGTGCCTCACAGTAATTGTCCCGGCACCTGGGTCCATTTGTTTTGTGCTTCTTTACATACTGGCGCAGAGGAGCAGATGGGAGATGGAGGAGCACGAGGGGAGGGAGGAGGGGCACGTGGGGTGGAATAAATCAGAACAGAAGATGGGGGTGGCTAGGTGGGTAGGTGGTGGCTGGGGTGCAAATGGATAAAGAAAGGGCAGCCAATTAACTAAAATTAGCTCGTTTTTGCAGGCAGGTTACTAATTGTCCCCTTCCCTTACGTCACCTCCTGTGCTCCAGCCTAGGTGTTGTGTAATGCCCACTCTGAAGCAGTCAAGAGGAGACTAGCCCGTTTCCATGGCAGCCACGAGCACTAGCACCAGCATGGCCATAAAACAGTCCAAGTAGAATAAGACATGGCGGTTTGATAAACATAGTTATTAGTTCCAAGTTACTGCTCAGGAGCCCTCCCTGAAATCACAACGGCAGCATGTCGGTTGTCATGGTGATGTATAGATTAGTCACGCCCCACTCCTCTTTCCATTTTCTCTCTGGTGAATTACTTTAATATTTCTGCCAAGTTTGTCGATGCAGAAATAAAACAGTCACTAAACTCCACCATTTAATCATTTATTGTAGCAGTTCCTTAAGTCTCCTATGTTAGACTTTGATAAAGATGAATCTGTGTTGTAACAATTTATGTACCAGATTAAAAGAAGCACAAGCAAGACAGAAGGTCATTATAGCTTTGAATAATCATCCATCTTTCAATTAGGGCTGCACAATATATTGCAAGCAAAATCGTAATTTGAGTAGGTGCAATTATCAAATCACAAAACTGCAATAATTTTGGTAAAAGAATAGTCCCTGTAAACAATTAAATATCTTACTGTTTAAAAAACTTGTAATTTAAACCTCTACAAACATGTTCTGAAATGCATTCAATTCTTTTATTGGTTTGGAAGTTAAAGTCATATTTGAATCTTTTGTTAAATGCTCCTGAGTGTCTGAAATGTGCACTCAGAACAGAATCCTTTTATCTACTGTATACATGAACTGCAAATCTAATTAAAATCACAATATGTGCCAGAAAAATCACAATTTGATTTATTAAAAAAATTGTGCAGCCCTACTACAAATATGCCTATACGTTTAGTTATGAAAATCACATAAGTAGAACAAAAATAGTGGTAATTAAAGTAATATATTGTGGTAAACCAAAGTTGATGGGGATGTGATGTCAGAGAGAATTTAGTACAAAAAACCTTCTACTGCAAACTACAAGGATTCGATCTTAATATGGCTCTGTGTCGTAGCAGATGTAGAACATTATGTGACGTTCATAACTTTTTACTGTACATGTTCTGCCATGTTTCTTGTGTCTCAGATTGACTGAAGCTGTACCATGCCTGTGGCCTCCACCAGGACAGAGCCTGGTGAGAGCACTCTCTTCATCCGCTCCTATTACATCACAACACCCCCACATTCACAATGACTCAAACACAGAAGACATTGTTACTGTACATTTGGGTTTATTGATTCTTTGTCTTCTCTTTAGCTCCCCAGGTGTTGGACGCCATGAGTGACAGCACAGCCAGCTCCACGACGGCCAATGACCTGGACCTCATCTACCTCAAGGGCATCATGGAGAACCCTCTGGTGAGCACCATTCTATTTTACCAAATCACATCAAGAACACACACTACACATTGCAATTTGTATATCTTTGAAAACAGTGATACACTTTCCCTTACTAGTATGTCTTAAAGAAGACATGTCTTAAAGAAGACATACTATGCAAGATTTACTTTTTTGAGTTTTTAACCACACTATACTGTTGTCTCCTCATCAAAAACAAATCTGGAGTTGTATTTTTGCTTCATTCACACACTTAAAGCCGTCTTCTATGAGCAGTAAAATGCTTAGTTTACCATTTAGTTGCATTACAGACTGATTCTGCGGTCTAATTGTGTTCACAACAAACGCATGGCCTCATTAGCATTGCAAGCAATGTTGTTCATCCAATGCCTAAATTGGAAATAGAAGTGATGTTTATAAAGTACATTCTCCAAATGCAAAGTATTCTCCAAATGCAAACATTATTTTAAACATGCAAACATATTTAAATGGAAATTAAAGCCACAAGAATGCATAATATGTGCTCTTTAATACTTAAAGAGTTACAACTTTCATATTGTGGGCATTGATTTGATCAGTATCTACACAGTTACACAGATTAGTATTGTGAGGTTGTATTTGTGAGGGTGTGAAGCCTTTTCGCTTCCTCACCAGCTGCCTGTTTTTTTCCAGGAGCAGGATGAGAGCCTGAAGGCACCACGGCTCTCTCCGGTGCGAGAGAACAATGTGGAGCTGCTCCAGGAGATCCTCCGAGACCTGGACCCGTTCAAGAGTTGCTCCGACACAGCGGCCGAGCTGTCCAACATCCTCACACAGCCACACTTCCAGGTACCATCCACAATATACTGCTATAAATACTTCTTTACATATAGGTGAATGGGATTTTAAAACATTAAGATATTTTTTTGTTTTAATCTTAAAGAAGACATATTTATATTTTAGACAAATTTATTTTATATTTATATTTCAAATTGTAGTAACAAAGTAAGTAAAGAGTAATGGCCATGCATGAGTGGTAAAGGGAAATTTTGTGAGCTATGGCATAGAAGACTACAGGAGAATAAGATTATTAAAACAGCATGAGAAGGGAACCTAAAGACAAACCTTCTTCATCCACTGGAGCCTCTTTTGTCTAATGGCCGCTTTATGTGTATTTCCAGTCCCTGCTTGAGACCCATGATTCAGTGGCATCCCAAGCATGTGACAGCCCACCACCCAGCCCCTGTGACTTTGTGGACCATGATGACGAAGACGAAGATGAAGACGAGTGCGACACACACAACCACCACCCGCCAGACGCAGTCCGCATGGTGGGCATACGCAAAGTGGCAGGAGAGCATCTGGTACGGCCTATTTTTAAAGGCATTTTCTGTATTGATATGGTTTTCCTTTGATTTTCTTTTTTTTTTCTTTTACAATTTCAGGGAGTAACGTTCAAAGTAGAAAATGGGGAACTCGTCATAGCCCGCATTCTGCACGGAGGAATGGTAGACCAGCAAGGCCTGCTGCACGTTGGAGACATCATCAAAGAGGTATTTTGGGGGATAGGATGAGATGTATAGCATTTTTATATCGCATGGGGTCAGGGTTTATGTCAGTAATTTCATCATTTCAAGCTTATATTTTCAGATTTAAAACAGGAAAAGTATTCTTAAAAAAGTTTACACTTATAATGTTTTCATCAAGAAACAATAATAT